TGTTATTTGATGCTAGTGTCATTTGGTGATAGTGTTATTTGGTGATAGTGTTATTTGGTCCTTGTGTTAATTTATTAATCATTACTTGATGCTACTGTTGGCTGGTGCTACTGTTGACTTGTGCTACTGTTGGCTGGTGCTACTGTTGGCTGGTGCTACTGTTGACTTGTGCTACTGTTGACTGGTGCTACTGTTGGCTGGTGCTACTGTTGGCTGGTGCTACTGTTGGCTGGTGCTACTGTTGACTGGTGCTACTGTTGACTGGTGCTACTGTTGACTGGTGCTACTGTTGATTGGTGCTAATGAACGAGAGTTTAAGATGACACCGCTATAAGGGGGAGTTTTTAAACAATAATTATCCGCTCCATCAAATCAGATTTCACGAGGATGAATAATACGTATTGAAAGCTTGGAGATTAGGAGAAGATCACATGACTTAAATATATACTGACTATTATTTTATGAGACTGAAAGATCTCATGACTTTAACATACCATGACTTTAAAATCACATGACTCAAAGATCACGTGAGTCTAAGATATCACGACCTTAAGATGACACCACTTCCAGGGACCACATGATTTCTTAAGATCAGTCGACAGCTTAAGTCCCCTAAGGAACCTCACCCTTACAAATGAGAGAAAAAGACCCCCCACCCTCCCCCTCACACACAGACACATTCACACACACGCACACACACCGTTCTCCTTTCGTTCCAATGTCCGCGTCGCATCTTGGTTGAAAGAAAAAAAATTGTTCCTATCTTGTTTCTTGTCTTTACGCCGCGTCGAGAGTTCAGTAAATATCGTTCACGTGGAGCCCCACTTCTGATGACGTCATCAGAACAAGTGTTCTCGTCTGTGTTGGAGCCCGTCACGTCCAAAACGAGACTGACACGTTTTGAAGTAGCGCTCTGTCAAAAATGATATTCGCGTTTTTTTTTTACTTCAAAATTTTAAACTCTCTAACGTAAATCGTTTTTTGTTACATAAACACAAGCGCACTCATACATACTCACACACACATGCGACAACATTCATACTCGCTAATGATCTTTTTCAAAGACACACATTCATACAAACACAACAATGATATACATTAGCAAATTATATTCATTACGTCATACCTTCATTCATTTGAACACTTTTAAATACACATTTATCCGCAAGCACCCAACTCCAATATACTTAAACACGCGAGCTTCACTCACATCGGTCATACACAAACTCAAGGTGACAGGAAAGATGCGCAACGGAAAACTGCGCACAAAAAAGTGCGCTAAGGCGTTTTTGTTTTTTTAAATAGAGCATTTATAGATATTAACAAAGAGTAACTACATGTACACTGCAACATAATAAAACATATTTTCACGAAATATGACAAAATTAAAGTGATTGTAGGGTCGGTGTAGTTGAGTCGGTAACGCTCATGGTTACTAAACCGACCGAAAAGTCTCGAGTTCGAACCCTCGGGCAGATGAGGCTCGTTAGCTGGGGACAGCAACTCTTCTAGGAGAGACAACTCCAAAATCAAACAACTGCTGCCTTTAAGAAGACAAACTGTATGGGAGCAAATCCACAAAGAAAAGCAGGCTGAAATCGGAGTCAAAAGGCCTCGATGGCGCATAACCAGTATAGAATCTACTTAATTGTGTTGGAGGGTATCCCTTCCAACGCTAAAGTTAAGAACGAAGAAGAAGAAGAAGAAAGTAATTAGTATATTTAGTTTTCGTATTTTTTCTGGTTGCGCAATTTTCAGTTTGCGGATTTTTCTGTGAACCCATACTCACACACATTCACACACGACATCTACACATACACCCACACTCACAAACCACCCACTCGCAAGTTATCTCACACTAATTTTACTTCTCTCTTTCTCAAACTTTACCTAGATCAAATTACCGCCAGTCCGCCATACATAATGAAATTATCGCGTGCAAGGCGTTAATTAAACAATAGGTCGGGGCCTGATTGGTCTGCGCGGGATTTCCCTGATGCAGACGATAAACCACGGCAGTGTAGGACCCCCGTCATCAGGCGGGTGAAACCTTACTCACCAGGAACTCGCGTCATGAGGGAGGCAACAGTCGAGGAGGAGTAGATCGAGGGTTAGAATGGCTAGAGGGCCGTGAGGTTTGATACATCCACGGGTGTAGGCTTTTGGAGGTCTTATTGTATGTGTGTGTGTCTGAATGTGTGTGTGTGTCTGTATGTGTGTGTAAGTGAGTTTGTACGTGTGTGAATGTGTGTGTGTATGTGAGTGAGTGTGATTTAACTTTCATGCCTCTTGCTGTTACGCAAGGTGTAGGGGTTTTGGGGTCTCATTGTATGTGTGTGTGTCTGTATGTATGTGTGTGTGTGTGGGGGGGGGGGGTTGTGCGTGTGTGCGTGTGTGTGTAATTTAACTCTCATGCCTCTTGTTGTTACGCATACACGCAAACACGTCTCACCATTTTGGATAAGCAGTGTCACCTTTTGTTAGACACGCTAAGACTTATCTCACCATTTTCTGAACACATACACATTCGGCTCATAATTTTCAAGAAACACAAACACTCGTCTTAGAATTTTATGAACCCACAAACTTCGGTCTAACCTATTTCTCAACACACAAACTTCGGTCTTACCATTTCCTGAACACACAAACACTCATTTCTCCAATTTCCGGACACATTCTCCGTCTAAACCACAGCCATTTTGTAGTCCCAGCGTCTAGCGCCATAAAATTAAGCCACTTTCAAATGTTTTTTAACGCTAGAAACGGATTAGAACCTTCTGGAAATGACATCACTGTTTGTGTAATTAAATTTCCACTTTTTTTTGTGCAATTCAATTACCATCCCCGCCCCGTTTCACCCCTTCTCTCCCCTATTCCCCTGTCTCGGTCGTTAAAATATATCTAAACAGCACCGCTAATTCATAGATGCCAGGGGGGTGAGAGGAAGGAGCTTGGGGAGGTTGGGGTGGGGGAGATTTAGGAATATTCAAGATTATAATTGTACTTAAAAATGGACACATTATTTCTTATATTGTGAGGTGTCCTCGTTATTTAAAAATAAAACGCGTTTAATTATATTTCTTTCGTTAGTATCTTGGAAAAAAATCGAACTGGTTGTTTTTGTTTTTGTTATGAAGTTTTTTTTCTATACTTTTGACGTAATTAGTACATGAAGGCCGGTATATAAACAAACACAGACTAAAAATATTTCTTTTCTTTGAAAGGTGCGTCTTCATCGTGAGCTTTTCTCATAAGCCAAGATACTGTAGACAGTAACGAGATTATGACGAGAGTCTGTGTTTGATGGCCGGTATGACCAGTTTGTTTCCGTTGGTTTTTGCTTCTTCCCAACAACAGCCCCTCCTTCCTCCCCTTTCGAAGAAATGCCAAACCCAAGGTCTTGTTAGTCCGGCTCTGAAGTGATGTAGTGATGACTTAACGAATAGCAAGCAAGAGGTCCTTCTCTATTCGGCATCCTTAACTCGCTCGAAATTTTAGAAGCAAATCTTACCATGTCCTGGAATATTAAATTTTCAGTTTTATTTATACTAATATTTTTTACAAAAAAGATTTAAAGATTAAAATCACAAATCCATCTTGCTTTCGATGCGGATTTATTTATTATAAAAAAATACCAATTAAGAAGACTGTAAAAGTATCGAGCGTCTATAATGAGATAATCGCGATAATCTGGTTAATGTGTCTATGGTGTAGGCCTATCTTGTTGGCGATGATTAAAAGATACCTGGTCGTGATGGTCTTGCCCACACGTCCATCATCTGTCACACCCATCCATCATCTGTCACACTCATACAGCATCTGTCACACTCATACAGCATCTGCTATACCCAACCAGCATCTGTCACACTCATCCATCATCTGTCATACCCATCCAGCATCTGTCACATCCATCCAGCATATGTCTCGACTATCCAACATCTGTCACATTTATCCAATATCTGTCACACCAATCCTTTATCTGCCATACCCATCCAGCATCTGTCACACCTATCCAGCATCTGCTATACCCATCCAGCATCTGTCACACTCATCTAGCATCTGTCACACCCATCAAGCATCTGTTACACTTATCACAGTTCCAATCCCGCCAACCTATCGTCTGTCACACCCGTCCATCATTGATCACACCCATCCAGCATCTGCTATACCCATCCAACATCTGTCACACCCATCCAGCATATGTCACACTCATCCAGTGTCTGTCACACTCATCCATCATCTGTTACACTCATCCAACATCTGTCTCACTCATCCAGCATCTGTTACACTTATCACAGTTCCAATCCCGCCAACCTATCGTGTGTCACTTCCATCCATCATCTATCACACCCATCCATCATCTATCACACCCATCCATCATATATCACACCCATCCATCATCTATCACACCCATCCATCATCTATCACACCCATCCATCATCTATCACACCCATCCATCATCTATCACACCCATCCATCATTTATCACACCCATCCATCATTTATCACACCTATCCATCATCTATCACTTCCATCCATCATCTATCACACCCATCCATCATCTATCACACCCATCCATCATCTATCACACCCATCCATCATTTATCACACCCATCCATCATTTATCACACCTATCCATCATCTATCACTTCCATCCATCATCTATCACATCCATCCAGCATCTATCACACACATCCAGCATCTATCACACCTGTCCAGCATCTGTCACACCATCCAGCACCTTTTCTGCCCTCTCTACCCCAAACTCCTCACACAACCGCCACCCACTAATGAGCCAGGCTAACACCACAACAAAGCTAATCGTCTCCCCTGTTTTTAAACTTGCTCTATTTATAGCCTCGCGAGATAAGCTAAATCCATCAGCTCTAAATCCGTGTGGCTAATTATCTCTTTTTGTTTACTCCAACATTCTATCTTATAAACTTGCATCAGTTTCCGTACACGTTCCATATTTTTCTTTTTTCTCTCTACCAGTTTGATGACTTCCAGCAAACCGAACACCCGGAATATATTTGTTACGTCCGGAAATCATTAAGGTATGAATTACTTCTCCAATTTTGCATTATTTGTGTTACATATATACAACAATGTAAACTTATACCGTATATAAGTTTGCGGGACCCAGAGTGTGTTAAGATAGTAGTTATGGTTATGATTCGAAATGACAATATAGGTCTATAGGTCTGTGACCTCGGCATATGAAGAGATAGTGTAGTCAGCACTATGCCCAGCCGCCTTTACTTTCCCTAACGTGAGTTAGGTACCCATCAGAGTTCGGTGGACTTCGAACTCGAGACTTAAGGGCTAGCAGTCCAGCTCTCTACCGCTAGACCACTCCGTCCCCACACCTACAAATGTGCCATGGTGGAATACAGAAAAAAATGACTCCTGGTCTTGCAGCTTCAAAGTGGCCACGACAAAACGGCCCTTGACAAAACGGTCCCAAACAAAACGGCCCGATCAACTGTTCAGTGTAAATCATATTGCGTCATCCGGTCACGTGATGTATTAAATGGTCTCTGGTCAGTGCTGGTCAGTGACGTCACTAGGTCGGGTGTCACTCGGCACGGTGGCTTCCGTTGCGGACCGCACCCCGCGCCCCGCCTAGTGACGCCACTGACTCTGTTTGCGTCTTACTGCTAGCAGTGAATGTTGGGGTTTATTGAGAGTTCAGTTGTGGTTATGGTAAAGTGGGGGTTATGGTCGAGATTGGGTTGAGGTGGGGTAAAGTTAGGATTGGGCTGGGTTAAGTATGGGTTAAGTTAGGGTTGCTAGTGTTCGGTAATGTTAGTTTTAGGGTTGAGTTAGGGTTGCTGGTGTTAGGTTTATGTTAGTTTTAGAGTTAAGTTTAGGGTTGCTAGTATTAGGTAATGTTAGTATTAGGGTTGAGTTAGGGTTGCTGGTGTTAGGTTTATGTTAGTTTTAGAGTTAAGTTTAGGGTTGCTAGTATTAGGTAATGTTAGTATTAGGGTTGAGTTAGGGTTGCTGGTGTTAGGTTTATGTTAGTTTTAGAGTTAAGTTTAGGGTTGCTAGTATTAGGTAATGTTAGTATTAGGGTTGAGTTAGGGTTGCTGGTGTTAGGTTTATGTTAGTTTTAGAGTTAAGTTTAGGGTTGCTAGTATTAGGTAATGTTAGTATTAGGGTTGAGTTAGGGCTGCTAGTTTTTAACAGTGTTTCTTCCAGAATTTTTTTTCTCCTTGGGGGGGGGGGGGATGGTTACTTGAAATTTTCGGAGGGATGGGGGGGGGGGGCGGACACTGCTAAAAGTATATATTTTCTATATAAATTCCATTTTGTTCGGGGGCGGTAGACATTCTTCTGCCCTCAAGAGATTACTGGAAGAACATCAGGTTTTTAAGTAATGTTAGAGTTATGGTTGAGTTTGGGTTGAGTTAGGGTTTCTATTTTTAAGTAATGCTAGAGTTATGGTTGAGTTATGGTTGAGTAAGGGTTGATTTATGGTTGCTATCGTTTAGTAATGTTTGTGCTAGGATTGTGTTACCATGTAAGTATAGACAACACCATCGGGTCAGACTGACCTATCAGCACCACCAAATGTTAACCTGCCAACATCATTTCTCTATCCCTCATCGGGATATTTTAGACATCCGATGTGTGTGGGGTGGGGGAGGGGAGTCTAGGGAGTGCGGCATGTACACACAATATTTATTCTAGAATTTTGCTGAAAGAGGGGGGCGGGGGGGGTGATGGACATCAAGAAATATTTATTCATGCGATGTATATTTTTTTTTCTTGCCAGTGTATCGTATTGTCAAATCTCAGCAAGTTTGATCCTACCTCTTCATCAAATCCATGCTACATAATCCACTATTATATCCATACATGAATCAACTCTATCCACAGATTAATCCATTCTATCCATAAATGAATCTACTAGATCCTTAAATAAATGTACTCTATACATACTTACATATTATATCCATTCTAACCATAGATTAATCCGTACTATATCCTGTACATGCATACATCCACTCTATCCACTATATTATTATATATCCATACATGAAGCTACTCAGTCTATACATGGATACAATGTACCCATAAAGTAATATACTATATCGCTGCATGAATCCATTCTATCCATTGTATTATTATATATCAATACATGAAGTCACCAGAGTTTCTTCCAGGGATCTCTTCGGGAGGGCGGAGCCCCCCCCCCCCCCCGAAAAAAAGTCTACCGCCCCCCCCCCCCCTCCCGCCCGAACGAAATGATATATATATATATATATATATATATATATATATATATATATATATATATATAATATATACTTTTAACAGTGCAGTGTCCGCCCCCCCCCCCCGATGAAAGTCTACCCCCCCCCCCCCCCCGAAAATTTCAAGTGCCCCCCTCCCCGGGAGAAAAAAAGTCTGGAAGAAACACTGGAAGTCACTCAGCCCATACATGAATCCAATGTACACTTAAAGTAGTAGACTATATCTCTGCATGAATACACTCTATCCATTATATTATTATATCATTTTATATCCATACACGAAGTCACTCAGTCCATATCTCAATCCAATGTACCCATAAAGTAGTAGATTATGAATCCATTTTATCCATATAAAAAGTCCATCATGTCCATACGCGAATCAACCATAACCAAGTGTTGAAACCTAATGTTTCCTGTTGTAACCTTACGCTGTAATATCCTTTACGTGTAATGGGCGTTCTTGATCTCAAATCACCCATTAAATGGATATCCATACACCCATAAATCACCTTTGAGAAAAGTAATTCGTCTGGGTTGGGTAATGGCAAGCGGATACAGTTTTTTTAGTCTACTTGCAATTGAAAAGGTAGACCGAAAAACGTGACGTCATAGATCACCAATTTAGCAAAAATTTTAATTAAATCAAAACCCTGATATCGGGTGTTAAAAAAGGGGCGGTAACGATGACCGCTTGATTAGGAGCCGAAGTGTTTAGCTCCCGTGGTACGCTAGTACTTTAAAGCGCCCAACTTTTTAAAAAACGTAATGACGCGCCTGTATTCTCGTTAATTTAATAGGAATATATACGGCGTAATGAGCTTGTTATAATTGAAACCGTTTTTTGTCTCTTTTTCACGTTTTTTTGTCATAATTAGGAAAAGGAATTGACAAAAACGAAAATAGAAACTTTTCTCTGAAATTGAGTTCAATAGATGGAACTTTATCTCATGAATTGGCTGTACGAAACATTCTTAAATCAGAGGAACGAGTCTATTTAAAATTAGCAATAAACATTGTTGTAAAGGCACGTTTACAAAAGCTGTACCACCATTGTTAAATCGATGGTTTTAGCGATAATATTACTTTAATCCTAAGCTAAACCTTAACTATGTTTTAATGTTTTTAAACGTTATTATACTTTAGAGGTACGGCTATAGGAAAAGTTCCAGATTCTTCTTCTTCGTCCTTAATTTGTAATGTTGGGCGGGATTTCCTCCAACACAGTTAATTATACGTGTAGTCTGTTATGTGCCATTTAGGCTGTTGACTCCGATTTCTGCCTGCTTTTCTTTTTGGATTTGCTTCCACAGCCTTAGTCTAAACAAGAAAACCTACAAGGCAGCAGTTGTTTATTTTGTGTTTCCCTCTCCTATGTCGGTTGCTGTCCCAAGCTATCGTATCTACCCGCGGATTCAAACTCGGGAGCTACAGATTAATAAACATGAGCGTCACCGTTCCGCCATGCGGACCCACTAGACACCCAGCAAAAGAACTCGCTAATACAAACATCATCTCCACTTGTAACTTCGCATACCCTGTTACTGTAACAAAATCCACGTCTAAAAAAAAACCCAGAATAATCGGCCTATTAGTTGACCCGTAGAAAAACACCGGGCCAGATGCTAGTAAAGAAAAAAAATCTCAGAGACCTGACCTCAAATCAGATCTAGACATCCTGGCTGGCATCCCAATCAGGTCTGATCACAGATCTCCCTGTTAACTACAAGTAATGAATGATCATAAAAATAAGATTTTCATCCAATTTTTTCACGTATGTTACAAATCATGGACAATTTTTTGACCCTCCTGCCGGCATGAAAAGAATGGCTTCTTCAATATATTTTTTTTACTCACAAGCAAATTTAATTGGGGGAGATTTTGCGACATCACTTTTTTAAGATATACATTTCTGTGGTGTGATAAGGAATATATATATATATTAGTACCTTAAGGTTAGCCTATCACTGGTGGATATGTCTAAAAAAAATATTCATAAAAAACGTTTTAATAACAAGCTTTTATGTAATATAATGCACTAAAAGGTAGAAAATAAATTATACACTACCATTTAAATTACTATAAAGAAAAGCGTAGGTCTCTTCCTAAATATTAGTAAAGGTATCCAATAGATTCTACAGTGGCCCACGCGTTTCTTTATAGTAATTTAATTAGTAGTGTTTAATTTATTTTATACTTTTTAGGGCATTATTACATAAAAACTTGTTATTAAAACGTTTTTCATGAATTTTTTTTTTCAATGCCAAAACGGGCAAGTGAAATAGACTTCCCCTGTTTCTGTGACCTTGGCGTATTAAGGGATAGTGTGGTCAGCACTATGCCCCGCCACCTTTAGTTTCCCTAACGTGAGTTAGGTACTTGACACATGTTGCATGTTTCAAAGAAATAGGTCCGTTAGAAGTGATCGAAACTTTGCTCGCCCGTTTCGATCAATAACGACATATGAAAGCACGACAAACAATAGAACAAGACAGCATGTTAAGTAAAAACTTGAACAAAATTACAGTACAATTCAGTAATGCGGAACTAAGTTCCAACAGTCAAAACTGCTCAATGGATTCAGACAAGTAGAAGACGTTACGCTACAAAGGATCTTTCATAAAGTCTCAAGCATAAAATAAAAACAATAAAGATACTGTACTGGTAAGATGATTGTTGTATTTTTGTTTACTAATTATGTACCATTATATACCAGAGAGAGGGACGGGGCCTAGCGCTAGGCTTCTAACCCAAAAGTCTCGAGTTCGAATTCGAGCTCAAGTCAGTAGAACATGGCT